GTCTAATTTTGTCACAATAAATACAAAACCAACAACTTTTTGTTTTCTCATGTTTTACATAAGAAACGATGACAAAATGACAAACGGAAAATGGCAAATTGCTCCACACGTTGCCGGCATACACGTTTGTACAACAAAACAACGAATATCTAGTGTCGAAACTCTTGACTTAGCCAACCATTTTCAATATATATATATATATATATATATATATATATATATATATATCACACGACCTAATTTAAGCATTCAATTAGTACCAAATGGTTCATGTAAGGATGGTGTGTTATGTGACCATATTCATCTTAATATGTTGTGCACCATTTCTAGATGCAAGAAAGCTCTTGAGGATGGAAGATGGTGGCACTTCTCAATTAAGTGAAAGGCTCTTCGTTCTTCACCTATCCCGCATAGACCGTATCTTGCAGTCGGTCCCTAGCCCCGGTGTCGGTCATTAGACTCGTACCGAACCCAACTTCTGTAATTCTCAGGAACTGGAACCCACATTTGAGGGAATGAATCTTTATCGCTTATTCTTGGTAATTCATCAGGTATTTGTTAATTGACATTTATACCCTTTTAGGATTAGATACAATTTTGGATTGATACATTGTTAATATGCATTTTTGTATGTTTTTAAATTTTATGTTGTTTGTAATATTATTTGATGAGCAAAAAGAAATTAATTAAAATTAATTTGTTGTTATATGTTGTCGGGTTGGTTTCTTATTTGGTTTATTCTCTCTTTTATGGGCTGAAATAGATATGGTAGGCCCATAGAAGTGGATCATTTGATCCATTACTTAAAAGTTAAAACTAAAGAGTAACAATTTTGGGCTTTATGGCCCAATAAGCATATAAGAACAAAACAAAGCCTAAAACTAAGGGGCCGTTTAACCAAATTCTTACCCGGTAAGCGCTTACCAATAGAAATCAACAATATAATTTATTTTGATGCACAAGATTTTAATATATCAAAACATATCGAATACAACAATGTACTGGGTAAGCGCTTATCCGGGTAAGAGTCGTCATCCTCACTAACCGGGTAAGAGTCTTCATCTTTCTCATCGCTCTTACTCGGTAAGATTCTTGGCCCTTTTTGTGTTTATCCAATGAGCAAATTTATGCGTTAAACACTTACCAAGTAAGTGTTTAGTAAATGGCCCCTAAAACTATCTTGTCTATTTAGGTATATAATTTGAAATGACAATTTAATAAATTTACAAGTTTCCGACTAAGGATGATTTGACCCGACCCGGTAGGGAACTCGGCTCACCCGACTCAAACGGGGACGAGGATTCCCCTCTAAAACGGGTCCCGGAGCCGGGGCCGGGATCCCGGTAGACTCAAACTAACAGATATTTTTCATGGGGTTTGACCGATGACGAGATGTTAATCCCCGTAACCGCCGGGAACCGGGGCCGGAGGTTGTTACTAAAAACCGAGGCCGGGGATTACAAAACCCACCTCATCCCCGCCCCGTTGCCATTCCTCTTTCTGACCTATTATACTTATTAAAAGGTCATAAATTTAATTAAAATTTTATTTAAAATTGTATACCCAAACGTAGTTCAATTTCTATCGACTATCGAGAGCGTTTTTATGATAGGATTACGTTCATCTTTAAAAAGGGAAAATTGTATCAGATTTATAGAAAAGAGTATTTAGTATTAATATGGTGAATTAAGTAAACCTAAAAATGTGTTGGTATTATTGTTCGATAATATATAAAAAGGCAAATTGTATGAAAAAAGTAACGTACTTTAACTTGATTCCTATTTTGGGTAACATATTTCTAAAACTTCCATTTTGGTACCTAAGATATAAAATTTTAAACATTTAAGTACCCAGGTAACCGGTTGAAACATTAACCAGTTACCATGCTGATGTGACGAGTGATAGAATAAAATTGGGTTGAATAGCAAATAATACTGAGTTGGATACCACATCACTCGCCAAATAAGATAGGTACCAATCTGTATACGAATTATATAAATGTACATACTTATATTTTGTATTAAGATGATAACAATACGTATTCTGTAAGATATATTCAAATTTTATTTGATTTTTAGAGACAGTTAAAAGGTTATTTATTTATATCGTCGTTAAATTAATTTTAGATCTTGTGCCAATAGACGAATGAGTGAAAAATATTCGTTCCATGACGTACATTTGCTTAAAAAGCCAACTCAAAATGATGCATGATAAAGAAACCATCAAAAGCCTCGTTATATTTCGTCATCGTCTTCTTTTTCCAAAAGAAAAATACAACTATGAGGTACAATATGAGTTCTTATATATTCCATCTCGTCATGACGATTGTCACCACTACCACTCCCGTCATCACCGTCACTGTCAACCGTCACCACCACTATCGTTGTTGTCTCCTCCACCACCATAGTCACTATCACCACCATTTCACGTTGCCGCTATCACTATCGTCGCCGCTACACCACTAGCACCAACGACACTATTACTAACACCACCACCATTGTCGCTGTCGTCACATCACCGCCAGTGGCACAGATTAATGGTATTTAAAAACTAAGCAATAAAAATATTATTTAGGAATGTTCTGGCTATTTATCACTATTTAATTATAACTTTGAAGTTATATTTAGCAAACCAAATAAACGGATTCCAATTCTTTTGATAGATTCTATTCTAATTCCAATCAACCAAACACATGTACATTTTCTCCCATTTGAGAATGCTGTATGCATCCCATTTTATGTCATATAATCAAATCAGATTATGCATTGAGAATGTAAAAAGTAGGTCTTGATGTTGATGTGTGTAAAGAGAACATTAATATATAGAAATACATTCAGCAATACATAAATAGACGATCTGGACCTTTGATCATTTTTAATCTCACCTCACCACATGAATTACGCTTATCACGGGAATTGATCCGGTTGCATTTCGATGCACCATATTAATGTTGATATTCAATTAAGATTGATTCAAACATAAAGATCCCTTATTATCCTTCTCAACATAACTTACATTCTTATCGAAACGCTGTCGTATATATATATATATATATATATATATATATATATATATAAGAAATTAGTTTTAATGATTCCATTTTTGTCTCTTGAACCCCAAAAGAGCCAAATTACAAAGAGAAGTGATTCCCTTTAATATTTAACAAAAATTACATGCATAATAATTGTCACGTGCGGTTTTCAATTTTAAAATGCTCATTAGTATTAATTATTATTTATTATTAGGATATTACTAATATTAATTAATTTTAATTATATATTATACATTAATATTATTTACTAATTATTTATGAT